ATATTTCAACCCCTTCCTGGCATTCCTCCCAAACGTGCTGGAGATCACACCATACCACTGATCCAAGGAGCTCAGCCTTTTCGCCTCAGACCTTATAGGTACAACCGTTTTCAGAAGGATGAGATTGAGATGCAAATCAAAGAGCTATTACAGAAAGGCTTAATTCAGTCTAGCTCCAGCCCTTTTGCTTCACCATCACTGTTAGTATGCAAGAAGACAGGGGACTAGAGACTTTGTGTGGATTACAAGAGGCTAAATGCATTGACAATGAAAAATAAATACCCTTTGCCTGTTATTGATGAATTACTGGACGAACACTTTGGAGCCACTTGGTTCACCTCCTTAGACATGTGTTCAGGGTTTCACCAAAGCAGAATGGCAGAAGGAGAAGAGTACAAAACTGCCTTTCAGCATAATGAACATTTTGAATACAAGGTCATGCCCTATGGAGTTACAGGGGACCAGCTACTTTTCAAGAAGTGATGAATGAGTTACTGGCACCTTTTCTGACAAAACTTATGGTGGTGTTTATTGACGATGTACTCATACTCATCTATAGGCTATAGCAGGACTTGGTCTGATCACCTCTCTCATATAACACAAATTTTCTCAGTTCTTCAATAGCATCAGTTTTACATCAAGTTGGCCAAATGTTCATTTGCTAAGAGCATGCCACAGTTGCAGACATAGCCACTCACGCCCCCGCGTCGCCTCCCACGAAGACGACTCGGGCGGCCCCGAAACTAGCTGCCGCCCCCCTCCCTCTCCTCCCTCCCCCACCGCGCCGCCGCCGGAGCAGGCCGCCGGCAAGGCTGTGTGGCTCGCCAGGATGGCGGCAGCGGGGCCTCTGTTCGCGGATGGGCGGCTCGACGGCGCAAGGCTACGCCGAGCGCCATGGGGCTTGGCGGGGCTGCCCAACGGCGGCTGCAGGGGCACCGGACAGAGCCCAGGCAGGCGTAGGGTGGCGCGGCAGGATCCTCTTCTTCTCCCCCTCCGTCGTCCCCTTCCTCCTACATGGCAGTGCCGGCAGCGCCGGCCTGGACTGCTCTAGGGCTGGCAGCGGCCAGATCCAATACCCTGGTGGCCGGATCCGGTCACCCCTAGGAGGGGGGTGGCGCCGGTGGTGGCGGCCATGGTGGAGGCCGCAGCGGCGGCTTGGGGCACCGGGTTCTCTGCCCTAGCGGCCGGATCCGGCGCCCCTTGGGCTGGGAGCGGCGCCCACGGTGGCGGGTTACTTGTGCACGGCAACGGCTGGAGGTTATCGGCAGCATCGGCTGCGGGTGCCAATGCCGGCGACGATGGCTGGTAACGGCTTCATCATGTGGCAGTGTGATGCAGAGTAAGCCCGGGATGTGTTGCCCGGTCAGAGGGGGTGGCGGCTGACGCAGCTATGCGGCTGCTGCGTGTAGCCGGCACGTCGATGCCCCTCTAGAAGCTTCTCTATGGGATGGCGGGGCAGCGACGATAGCGATGACAGCAGGCTATGGTCCGGTATCTTGGCTCGACATCATGTTGGGGGATTCCGTGGGTGAAAGCTTTGGCGACGGTGACGCCTGTGGGCGCTGCTTTCCCTGTTGAGGGCGCCGTTTCACCCAGCACTATCTTCCACGTGTGAAAGCCTAGTCCATCTTAGACGAGCGATGGTGGCGTTCTCGACGTCATGTCCTTCCTGAAGGCATCGCTGTTGGAATTCATATCGGCCATGATGTTGCCTTCGGTTGATGCTCTTCGCTTCTTGGCAACCGTTCTGCGTGTGGAGGGGGGGACTTGCAGCGTGAAGTCGGAGCTGCTGGATTAGGGACGTGGCTCGACAACAATGACACGAGTCGAACCCTCCTTCGTCGATTGGAATGCTTTGGAGGTCCGGAAAGCGCCGGGGGCGGGCAAAGGTTCAAGATAGGAAGTCAGAGCTGTTCTTCAGGGTTCAAGCTTGGCAACGATGACTTGTTGCAGCCTCTCGCTTCGACCATCTATCTGTCTTCGTTAGGATCGTCTGGGTCTGCCATGGGAAGTCAGAGATGCTGACTGCTTGGCAACCATGCTCAACAACGATGACCGATGGCAGTTTTGTACTCTTCCACATAGTGTGGGTGGGTTTGCCCTTCGTGTGTCTTGTGTTGGCACCACATTGGCTACCCTTCTTGTACATAAATTTCCATCGTCTTAATTGAGCAGTAGAGCTCCTGCCATTGTTTCAAAAAAAATTCATTTGTTAAGAGCCAAATTCATTACCTTGCTATGTTATCAGTTCCCAGGGAATTGCTAGAGACCCAACTAAGGTACAAATCATAGCTGATTGGCCACCCCCCCTCATCACTAAAAGAACTTAGAAGTTTTTTGGGCACGGCAGGTTATTATAGGAAGTTTGTGTGCCATTTTGCTCTTTTGTCCAAACCTTTGACAAACCTTTTGAAGAAAGGAGAACAATTTATTTGGACATCAACCCAAGCCTCTTGCTTTCAAGCCTTGAAGCAATCTCTTATTACTGCTCTAGTCTTAGCATTAACAGATTTTTGTAAACCCTTTGGCCGGAGACTGATACTTCTGACAATGGTATAGGAGCGGTATTGCACCAAAATGGCCACCCTATTGCTTATGTTAGCAAGGCTCTTGGATCTAAAGCACAAGGACTTTCCACATATTAGAAGGAGTGCATGGCAATATTACTGGCAGTTGATCATCGGAGACCATATTTGAAACAATCAGAATTCATTATTTAGACTGGTCAAAAAAACCTTATCCACCTTGATGACCAGAGGCTCACTACCCCCATGGCAGCACAAGGCTCTTACAAAATTACTTGAGCTCACATATAAATTGGTGTACAAGAAGGCAAGGAGAATAGAGTGGGAGATGCTCTCTCTCTCAAGGATTATCCATGCAGATATTCATGATTTGGCTGCAATCTCTGTAGCTCAGTCCACCTGGTTGAATGACCTCATTTCTGCTTACCTCCAAGACCCCAAGTCTGCTCAACTTCTACAAGAACTCATAGTTCATTCTCCTTCAGGCCCCTTCAAGCTCACTGATGGGTTAATCTATTACCAATCCAGAATCTGGATAGGAGCAGCACCAACAATTCAATAGAATATATTGAATGCACTTCATTCTAGTCCAGTTGGAGGCCATTCTGGAATTGAGGTTACATACATATAACAGGATCAAGAAACTTTTTGCTTGGCCATCAGTCAGGGATTGTCTCCCACTGTACTGTCTGCAGGAGCTTGGCAAACAGTCTCTTTAGACTTCATTGAACGGCTCCCAATGTCAGCTTTTTACAATTGCATCTTGGTTGTGATAGATAAATTCTGGTGGATAATTTCTCTAAATACGCCCACTTCCTTCCTCTATCACACCCATTCACAGCCTTGCATGTTGCTTTGGTTTATATGAATCAAGTTTACAAACTCTATGGTTTTCCAAATGCCCTCATTTCTGACAGAGACAAAATTTTCACCAGTCAAGTATGGAAAGAAGTGTTTAAACTGCTTAAAGTAGATCTGCTTATGAGTAGAGCTTACCACCCCCCAAACTGATGGTCAAATAGAGTGAGTCAATCTGTATAGAAACCTACCTGAGGTGTTTTGTCCACACTTGTCCTACAAAGTAGTCCTCATGGATATCTCTTGCTGAATTCTGGTATAATACTTCATATCACTCATCTTTGAGGCATACACCATTCAAAGTACTTTATGGCCATGAACCTAATCAGCAAGGCATTGATGTGGTGGATACTTGCCAGAATGTTGACCTTCAAATATGGCTTCAAGAAAGAGAACTGACGCAGCAAGTGATACATCAACACCTCTTACGTGCTCAGAGTAAGATGAAGCCCTATGCTAACAATAAACGATCATTTCGCCAATTCTCAGTGGGGGCCTCGGTTTATCTGAAGCTTCAACCATATGTTCAAACTTCTTTGGCTACCAGGTACTCCACTAAACTTTCCTTCCGCTACTTTTGTCCTTTCGCCATTACTGATAAGATCCGATCAGTGGCTTACAAGCTAGCATTACCATAGACAAGCTCCATTCACCTGGTTTTACATGTGTCTCTTAACTTAAAAAGGCACTCTCTCTCCACATCATACAGTAAGCTCAGAGTTACTTGACCCATCTTGGCAGCTCCAGGTGCCACTTCGCATACTAGACCATCGTCTTCACCAGCATCAAGATCATATGACTAGCAAGTGTTGATTCAATGGCTCACCTTCCACCACATCTGCCAACTTGGGAAGATGAAGCTGCGCTACTCAAGAATTTCCACGTGCCCCGGCTTGGGGACAAGCCGTCTCTCGAGGAGGGGAGAATGTCACAAGCAAACCCACTGCTGCCGAGACTGAAGATGGGCTCGAAGCAAGAAGGATTTCCAAGCCTAACCGACGTTTCACTGGGCCTGAGTGGACTAGGCCTTACTCCAGCCCACGTAACTGGCAAGGCAGTGCTGCGGTCATGTAAAGAGGGGTGAAGCTACGAAGAGAACTCAAATTTGACTTTTGTAACTCTGAACTGAGCCTGTTCGCTGTGGTGACGACGGGCGCAACAATCACCGGCGACACGGGACCCCAAAATCCACCATGAAACCTACCTATATCGAGTGTTTCGATGACAATGAATATCTATCTTTATTGATTGAATCTTTGACAACTTTACAGAGAACACTTATAGAAGAGAAACAGAGCTAGGGGAAAACAGAGTTAAGAGGGCGGCAGCCAGGGGAGGAACCCAGGCGACAGCCAACACTAAAGGCACTACACACTGGGATGGTTCCCAGGAGGCTGCCAGCAAGCAGAAAATACAGCAGTAAAACATGGAGTTGAAGATGAATAGGAAGCATTGCTAACAGTCTTGAGACTTTTTCTTTTTCATACACAGTTGTTCAGTTGTCTAGGTACTTAATGGAACACAATAAAATCTGTCAAGCTAACTTCTAAGCTGAGAAGATTCACTAGTACACAGATAATTAAAAGATAGTCTCGAGTTGTAATAATATAGTCTTACCTGAATACCTTCTGAGAACTCAACCTCTTCCTTGGCTGTAAGAAGTCTCCTGCCAGTCATCTTCCACAAGGAACCTAAAGGATTCATACTAGATGAGGAACCCTTGGACCGCTTCTTCTTTGAGGATGATGCAGCCTTTTGTGAAGCACGGAGAGTTGTGCTAGCCTTTATTGCTGCTCTAGTTCTCCTAGCTCTCCTCTCAGATTGACGAGCAGATTTCACAGCTATGTTCTCAGTGTACTGTGCATAAGCATCTAATTCATCTTCAGAAGCCATGATACCATAAGACTCCAAATCCTCCATCAAAGGATTATTAGCATACATGTCAGGACTGCTCGATTGCATCTCTGTGCGAAGGATTTCATTTGCCAAGTAGTTGTCCACACCCTTTTTTTGTCTAATTATAGGCTGATGGTTGTTTTTTTGTACCATCTGAACAACTTCTTGCGCAGCTTCAGCAGCTGCTCTGGCAAGAGCAACTGCCTCTGCGGCTGAAGCTTCTACGACCGCCTCTTCATTTAGAAGTGCTTCTGATGCCAGAGTTGCCTCAAAGTTTCTCTGACATACATTACAAAGTAAAAGTGAACAAATATTGTGATGTTCTACATTCTACTATACTGTTAAGGAATTTCTCACACTACAGGCAATGCTGGAAAGGCAGCAGCCTTCAACAAGAAAAGAAAAGGGCTTAGAAGCCTATAAAGGAACAAGACTGTGTTTGCCTTATATAATGACTCAATTTCATCCTTCCTTCTAGAAGCTTAAAACTCCTGCTTCATTTCTTTTTCTTCCAACACTGCTAGAGAAATACTCCGACAATTCAAGGAAGCAGAACTGAAATTACCAATAACTGTCCCCACAGATCAAAATTAGTCCTGCTGATTTGATATAAAATGTTCGTCTTCCAAGTAGGAAATCAGTAACAGACATGAACTGAAACTCGTACAACGTCACTTCTTATTCAATGTTCCTACATTTTTAACAGTGGGATTTAGCACTTGCTATGCTAGATTTTGCAATAAATAGCCTGCAGCTACAGTTACTAGCCGCTCCAATCAGTTGGCCCTGAACTCATTTTGTTCTAGGAAAAGCACCTCATGGTCATGGGTTCATGGCATTGTTTGAGAGTGATTAATGTACTCTTATTTGTTGATCATCAACGCATCCAACAAAGGAGTAGACTAAGTCTCCCAATTTGTCACATGTTAAACTAAACACAGCACCAAAAGCGGGCAAAGACAGTACAGCAAATGTAATTCGGAAGACAATCCAGCAAAAACAGAGCAGTGCGGGCCACCTGAATCGCCGGAGCCGCGTAAGCGAGCCTCAGCTGCGCCGCGCTGCCGTTGGTGCGGTCCTGGACGACAACGGCGGAGGTGACGGCGCAGTGGACGCGGAGCGCGGAGCACCTGGAGTAGGACGAGGAGGAGGAAGGCACGTGGGCGGCGGCAGACGGCGCCCACATGAACTGCGGCGCCAGGCACGCCATCGAGGAGCCAGGGCTGGCTGCTTGGCTCGTCTCACCGGAGTGCCGTCTCCATTGCTGCCGGGAGGAAAGAGAGGTGTATAGGTGGAGGGACGAGACGGTGGGGATGGAATTCAGGTTTGTTTTAGTCTGGATAAGGGGAGCTCAGTCAGACAGAACTCAGGCCTGCTCAGCCGCGACCCGGACTGAGAGTCAGTGGGCTGAATGCTGGGCCGGGCCATGCTAGACAAAAAAACACCCTTCCAATCCGTCGACACCAAATTCCATTTGAGATCCGACCAACAAGTCCAGCGCTGTCCCTCCGCGGTCCCCTCCTCCTTACTAATCCAACGGGCAATCCGTGCCCACACCTAGTGAACCACTCCCAATTCCATTTGGACAGACGTTCACTTGTTTTGAATCAGGCGAACGATCTGACCAACGAGTCCAGCGCAGTCCCTCCGTGGTCCCCTCCTCCTTGCTAGTCCAGCGAGTGATCCGCGCCCACACCTAGGGCATGTTTGATAAGGTGGCTGAGGCTGGCTCGGCCCTGTCTATAGTGGTGCAAGTGCTCGTTTGGTTTCCCTGTACCAATCCGATTGGACCCAATGAAGATCTTGTTTGATTCCCATGTGGGAGCCCCGCTGAGGACCAACTAACACCAACTGCTAACTTGAGATAACGTTTGGTGTGGGGCAATGTCAACCCGGCCCAAATGGAGGAAGCAGAATGGAAATAGATCAAAGCAATGAGCACAACTTCATTCCAATTTGTAATGGAGTACAACTTCATTCCAATTTGTAATGGAGTTCCATTACAATAACAGTACTTAAGGTAAATTAAGTATATTACTAATAGGCCTCAGACATCATAAATACATCATTTGCAACCATAGTCGGCATCAAGTTAGAAGCACAAAACAAAAGTAGCAACAGAGAGCAGGAACCACCATCTCAAGTTTGCAAAGGAAATGAATAGATTGGCACAGGTTTGAGATTAAGGATTACAAAAACCAACATCACATGGAGCCAGCTAATTAACCTTACAATTGTGTCATCATCATCCTACAAACTGCACTTACATTGGCTGCACACCGACAGCTTGAACCGAAGACTAAAGACCAGCAGCAAAAGAGTGACATGTAACACCCTAAAATTAGCAATATTTTAAAATAGGAGAATTTGATTTATTATGCATTTTTGTGAGCATTTGAATTTAGGAAAATAATAATTTTGTTAAAAATAAAATCAAATATAGGCTTACAATCATATGTGTGCATTCATGCTGCTGCATAATAATTTTTGAGTGGTGTGATTTGAAATCAAACTTTAAATTGTTTTGAATTTGCATTTTAAGATTTGCTTTGAAAAAAATAGAAAAGGAAAAAAATGAATTTCCCTCCCTCCTTTCTCCTTTCCCTACTTTCGGCCCAGTCGGCCTGCCTCTCTTTTCCCGCTCGCGGCCTGTTCCCATCCCGTGTGGCCCGCTTCCCGCACGGCCTTGCTTCCGCGCGCCGGCCCATCTCCCGCGCCCCGCTCCTTCTGCACGGCCTAGCTTCGCCTCGGCCCAGGTCTGCGCCGTGCCCGCGTGTTCTCCTCTCCTCCCTCTCGCTGACTGCGTTGGCCCACCTAGCAGCCGTCTTCTTCCTTCGGATCAAGTCCAAGCCGAACTCTACCACGCCGCCGTGTCCGACTTTGCTACGCCGCCGTCGTTGCCATGTCGCCCAAGTCGTCCCCGTCTCATAAAAACCAGATGCCCCATGCCCGTGCCTCCCTATCCAAACCCTAGAGCAAGCGCCGCCCCTGCTCGAGCCTGAGGCAGCCAACCCTAGCACCGCCGCGAGCTTGGAGAGCCATCGCCATTTCGCTGAGCGCTACGCTGCCCTCCATTGCTCCCCGCTTGTTTTTTTTGTTCCGGTGAGTTCCCCACCCTCTCCTCTCTCTCCTGGGCCTCTCTGTTTAGAAAACCGTGCACCGTAGGCTCCTACCCAACATCTCCGGCGAGCTCATCGCTGTTCCGGCCATGGCGCCGCCGCGCCCGTCCTGTCCGGACGGCCGCCATCGCCTCTCACCCACCCAATTGAATCTTGACCGTCCAAATCTAATCCAGCGGCCTATATCGAAGGATACCCCTTCGCTGTGAGATTTGCAAGAACCCCCTTATAATTCTTTGAGTCTTAACCCGCGGTCCATAGCGCCTTCCCAGATTTCATTTTCTTCTTTTGAAAGCGTACTTTGGTTCGGTTAGATCTAAAATATGTTTTCACTTATTTACAGTTTTGCCACTAATCTTGTTTTAGCCATAAAATCTCCGTTTTAACTCCAATTTGATCCGTTCAAGTTGCATTAGGTTTATAATTCCGTAATCTACATGTTCATACTACTTTTATGTAGGTTTTCAACTTTTAAAATTCGAGGTTAGATTTAATCTATTATTTTACTAAAGAAAATCTTGTTTAATTCATAATTTCTTCGTTTTAGCTCCAATTTTTGTGATCTTCACATCTGTGTGTTCATAGTAAGACGTAGATTCGTTTTTCAAATTATTCATCTTGATTTTATGTTGTTGGTGTACTATTCTAATCTTTAGCTTTTATTTGCTATGCATGATTGCTTCTGGATGCTTGTATGTTGCTGTGATTATCGGGTATAGACGGTGAGCAATTCGTGGAAAATCAAGGGTACTACTTTGATGAGCAGGATCAGCAGGAGTACTTTGCTCAAGGCAAGTATAGCATGGGATCATCCTTGTTTCCTATTTACATTAATACATTAAATTCATGTTGCATGAGTCACCTTGATAGGGATTCCCTAGAATTGAACTTTTACCTTGTCACCTACGGGATATGCATTGGGTAGCTTTGCTAGTGCTAAATTAAACCATGATCTTATAACTTGACTAATGGTATATGCAATAAACATTAAAATATGACTTTTTAGCAACTTGAAAACAGGGGGTGGAGTGTTTAGCTACTTTCTAAATGATTTAGATTCCTCTCCCTAAGGACTTATCTGTAAGTGATCATCCGAGACTTACAGTACAGCTATGAGGGCTACATGGCTCTGGCTTTAGCTCAGTATGAGGCTTGTTAGAGGTTACCTTTATGGCACAAGAGGGGTGTGTTTCGAGTTGGATATAGTGCAGCCTCTGTCCGCCAGTGTATAGGTTGCGCGTCATTGTGTCTGTCGGAAGGGGAGCCCTATATTCATAGGCCACAGAAACCTAGCGGCCCTAACTTGTCAGACAAACCTTTGAAAGGCTTCATAGTGACCCCTGCCTGCTCACCTTGGAAGTGTTTTGGGAGTAATTAACCCGGGTATATGGGTATCACGACTCACAGTGAAAGTGTACAACCTCTGTAGAGTGTAAAACTGGTATATCAGCCATGCTCACGATCATGAGCGGCCTTGGAACCCTTATGGAATAGAAGAACACTAAGAATTATCTATTTATGCTAGTCATTATTCATGTTTACATTGATCATGTGTTTTGCATTGGGAATTGAAACAACTTGTTGCTACTCTTAAGCTAAAATTGTGACAACTAAAAGCTGAATGTTGTTAAACCTGTGTCAAGCCTTTTGAGCCTCATGAACCCTATGTTACACTTGTTGAGTATGACATGTACTTACGCTTGTTTATTTTCATTATTTGGATAAAAATCCCGGATGGGTAACAGATGGCTATGGTAACGACGATTTTCCTGAGGATTACTAGTCTTGTGGTCAACCAGTTGACGTCCCTATGATATGGAGCTTCCGCGAGAGATCTTTTCTTACTTCCGCTACATTTATGTGAAGACTCTGTCTTATTCATGATGTAATAAACACTTGTGATGATACTATTCATAATTTGTCGGCTTATGTGTGTGACTGATCTCTGGACGCACATAAGATTTTGCATCCCATTTTATCCTTAAAATCGGGTGTGACAGATTAGTATCAGAGCTGTGTTGACTGTAGGACGCAAGCCTAGTTAGCAATGGTCATTTTAGCTTCTTTTGCTTCACTCATTTCATGCTTTCCATCTCACTCTTGTTATTTGCTAAAGTTTTATGCTTTTTTTGCCTTACTCTATTACGAAAATTATTGCTTCTAATCTAACTAAATCTAATTCTGTAGATGCCTCGTGCCAGTAAGACTGCCCGCATCAGCATCGGAGGTTACTACTCGCCTCGTGGTTTGTCCATGGAGCCTGAGGAGGAGGAACCCTAGGAACAAGAATTTGATTCGCCAACACCTGTACCTATGCCTGAGCCAGTCCATGAGGAACCTGAAGAAGTTGAGGTCATCTTACTGTCCAACGATGATGATGAGGAAGACACCGTTGAAGAGGATGAGCTGATCCTGCCCCTAGGATGGACGACAAAGGTCTGGTATAAGCCGGGGTGTGAATCCTCTGTTTTGCACCACCGACTCATGGGGATTCTTCAGACCTACTACGGTGATTGGGATGCAGCTGTGGAGTACATCTGCAATGAACATACGCACCCTCTGGAGAACACCTATTGGAAGACTAGGGTGTGCATCTCCATCAAGGACGAGCATAAAGGCGCATACCAGTTGGACTCAAACTATACGCATCATGCTCACTGTGCCACCATGGAGGATACCATAGAAGATGTTGCCGCTGCTACTTGCATAGGTCTTCGTGGTCATCGATTTGAGGATATGAAGGAAGACCAATATCGATTCCTCCCTCACCAACACCCAGAATTGGGATGTTCAATGATGGACCCTCAGGGCACGGATCCAACTACCCAAGTGATGGTACACTTTGGCTATGAGTCCGTAGCAAAGATTCACCGATTGGAGGATCAGTTGAAAGCACAGCAGAAAACCATTAAGAGACACCAACAGGTGATAGATGAGCAAAGGGTGTGCCTCAACCTACCAAAGATGTACGAGGAGCTTCCCCATAAACCTTGCCCATAGATGTTGGAGTCCCTTTTTATGTAATAAAATGATAGGAGAACGAGTCAAGTTGAGTCTAGTCGAGTCTATTAGTGCGGTATGAACATTGGTG